ATTAAGTACGTCTCATGTTTCTTACAATTCTAATACTCGGGACAGACTTAAAAATAAAAGTATTTTAAAAACAACCATTTCCAATAAACTAAAAAAGACTTCGATTCTCCCGGTACATAATTAAATATCTTCTTGTGTTTCTATTATCGTGATACTCGGAAAAGACATTTATAGGTACCATCAAAAATGTGATCAGGTTTAATCGGTAGTAAAAATTTATTACTGTAAATAACAAACTAAAATCAAACGGTTTAGTAAAGTATAAGAATGGGAAAATTTATGAAATATTGTTAGGGCCCATCGTTACCCATACACTTTTCTAAGTGTTGAACTAACTAGATATGACTCTGTTGTGGAAATATTCAAATTTCTGAGGTACACTGATAGGACAAGTAATTAACCTAACCGTCTGTCTACCATGTCCATTTGAGGTGATCTTGCTGGAAAATAGGGTTTTCTAACCCCTGCAGATACGGTAATGCAACTGGTCTTAAGATCCAGTGAATATATTTTTGTGCATTCATGTTTATTTCTAGAGGGACCTGCTTCCATATTTTATTGCACCCCACATCTCAACCACTCGAATAAGTGCTGTCTTCCGATCTACATAAAACCTGTATCCAGGTTGACAGCGAATTCCTTGGCACCGATCGCATCGTAAGCCCACAGATGGAATCGATATTCATTAATGAATATTATCTGATTCCACTCTTTATCCCACTGTACACGTTCATAATGCCACTCAAGTCCTACTTCCTCCGGGTTGATGATAAAGTAAGTAGGGGTTGGTACGATCTTAGACCAAAGGAACTTATCCTTCGATGAATGGAACTGATGGATAGTCGTTGACACGTAGCAGATAACCATTTATTCGCCACAATCTAGCACTGGAACGATCACAACAAAAAAATCCAAAGGCGTGAGGTCAGGCTGCGCTGGCCATTCAATTGCCTGTCGCTTCCAATCCAGCACCCAGGAAAAATGTCGTTTAAGTAGTAACGAACAGTAACGCGGTAATGAGGAATAGCTTCATTTTCCTGGAACCACAAAGCAATATTTGGCATATTGGGGTCGTCATGATTTGAGAGTACAGCACGGCTAGAGCAGGAACGAGATAGTCTCTAAATAGTTCCAAATACTTTTCACCTGTTGGTGTACCCTCAATGAAATGAGGTCCAAAAATCCTATTCCCAACAATGCCAGCACAAACAATCAACTTTTCTGGATATTTGGTATGGGCATCCATCACCTAGTGTGGATTCTGGGGAGCTTAAAAGCGGCAGTTTTATTTATTAACCATTCAGCTAAGATAAAACGTAGCTTCATCATAAGAAAAGATATAATGGTTGGCAAAATCATCATTACACCTCTCCATCATGTTATCACAAGGTCAATCCTGCGATCAGGATCGTCTTTGTTCAACTCGTGAACAAAAGTTATTTTGTACGGATGCCATTTATGTGTCTCAAATACTTTACACTCAGAACCGAAGATTAACTGATTTTATTATCAGCAGCCAACGCTCGTGTAGTGCTATGCGGATTTTGTTGCAATAGGCCCATGCACAAAATATAATTTTGGCATCTTTATTTAATACAAAAAAATGTGTAAAGGATTTTTTCTTTTTACAAAAGTTATTCAACATTTTGAATTAGTCTATTACGCGCACAAACACTGTCGGCCGGATAAGTCGATGCGGTGACGTCACAGGATCCTAGTTCTAGTGCAGAAAGCAGGCAAAGCATGTGTTAAATGTAAACAAGTAGTGTTATTTGTGTTTTTTGTTGTGAAATTTTAAGTAATTATAATGGTCAATTCTTCTAAATTATTAGTATATTACCAGTACTTTGTACCTATATGTGAAAATACTTAAAAACAATAAAAGATAAAACTTTTTTACGGGTTCCAAGAAACGGAAAACGTTTAGTTAAAGATGGTTAAACGGGATCCAAAGGAGTTTTCAACAACAAGTTGCGTTTTTTCATTCGTGGACCTTTTTGATGTGTGTAATTAAAAAATAATATTAAAAATAAATATGTAAAGGCAATAAAAATAATATGTGTAAAGTATATGGCACGGTGCCATATACTGGGTTTCGAACGATTTTTCCCATTTTTTTTTTGTTATTTTGGTGCATTAACAACGATATTTTCCATCGTGGATTTTGTGAGCCTACTGGGTGCTACTGAAAATCATCGGACACAGAGTTGTCGGTGAGACTCATTTTTAGCTAATGTTATTATTATAGATTTCAATCGCAAACTCACAATTTTTACTTTGAAACAATAATGGGATGTCCAAAAATATGTTTTCTAAAAGTATATACATGCAGTGTGTATATAAAATTTTTGCACATCTCTAACAAAGGTAACTTTTTTATATAAGAAAACATTTAAGCATATCGATTTGGGGGGTTTTAATTCTATCTTATAGACAAAAATGTAGAAATCAGAACGGCATTAGATATCTTCAGCCGTTTACGAGTTGTAAGGAAAAATATGGTGTGACGTCACTCCCAAATTTGGCTAGTGTAAAAATATAACTTCATTGTTTTTTGTCACACGTTTTTCGATAAAACTACTATACGATTCAAATGTGTTGAGCCCTCACTGTCACCGCGAATATCTCAAAAATGGAGGAGTGAAAAAAATACCACTAAAAAATTTTACATAAAACTAATAAGTGATTTCAGATAAATGACCACTTAAAGTTTAATGTGATGAGTGTGTCTTTAAAAATGGGTACATGGTTTGGTACAAATTAAAGTATCGTCGTGACATTTTAACCTAAGTTATTAAAATTTAACTGAGTGATTTACAATAGGCACACAATGAACACAATGTTTTAAATTTTTTTCTCCTCCGCTTTTGAGATATTCGCTGATAAAGTGATGGCTGGATATATTTGATTCGTATAGTAGGTAGTTTACTTACTCACATTTTAAAATGATATAAAATTCACTTTAGCATGGTGTATAAATTTCCAGTTTTCTATGTGGGAATTATTCAGAGCTGTTTACAATATAATATCGTTTGCATAAATATCTCAGACCAGAGACTACTAAATAATTTTAGGAAACAAACACCCATACTTAATGCATGAACTAGGTACCGTACCGGTCACCACCCGGAGTATCGTAGTTGGTGATGTCGCGCCAATTAGATATCGTTCTTAGACATAATGCTATTCCTGGAAGTTCAATTAGTAATTTAAATATTTGCCGGTAGAAATTATTAAAACACATTTGATAATTGCTAATGTATATTAAGACTATATTAGAATATATGAATTAATTAAAAAAATCCGACAAGTGCAAGGGCCCTATTACAACAAGATATTTAATTGTACTTCTTCAGGCAGGTTTAAGTGGTGTCGTATATCGCTCCTAGTATGTCCCCTTATTATATATCGCTGTATGCAGAATTTCAAGGAGAATAAGAATCCTTACAAATAGACAAGGGGGTTACCGTTTAAAAAAATATATTAACAATTAAAATTAAACACCACAGGTAATACAACCCCCTGTATCCCTGAAGTTACCTCAAGGTACCTTGTGTGGGAGAGGATTACATATTTAGAGACAACGGACACACACCCAATATTCGAATATATTAGAATTAATTTCTGGTTCAGAAAAAATCCTAGCTCCTCGATCGAGGATCGGATTGAAGACCCCAGGGTGAGAGACAAGTATCCTTACCACTCGACCATGAAGCCACACTAATAAATGGCGATGAAGTCATTGCGGAAAGGGGTGGGGGGTAAAAAATGACAACTATCAGACAATATGCGAGTTTAAAAGATAAGGTTAATCTGTCTGAGTATTTTGGCCGCAGATGATTGGAGAATTTTTATTTGGAGTGTTTCACGTCTGTCATTGTACATAGCCCACCGCTGCTATGATAATTAGAGCCCGGATCCGATATTACATTGAGAATATTATCGTGGAACATTTTAAAAATATCGCGTCCAGTTCCCTCTCGAAGTACTGTAGAACAATGGGTAAACGAGATCCCGGAGTTAAAGATTGATGACACAGAAGTTCGGTGCAATATTTATGAGAAAATATCATGTAGCCCTCGAATCATGTGTCCATCTAATAATAATATAATTAAATGGACCTATTTTGCTATTTTAAACTTGCACTTTTTAAAAATATTAATGTAATGCATGCAGTTGGGCGTAAAAACAAAATATGGCCGTAAAATACTGTAGCGTGATATTTAGTGAACAATTTTACAGGCAATAAAAATAATATAAGTGCTTCAGAATGGAAGATGACAAATAATTTAATCAGAGGAACTTGTGCTGTCACAAAGCAACTAATAGAGTTCTATTTATGTTTTGTTTTGTGTCACAGTCTATTTGTTAAAATTTTTTAATGCGGTACAGATAAATTTATAGTCAATAAAATTATTTTTAGCTATATATCGTTTAAGCCGGACCTGCCTGTCACATATGTTTCAGCTAATTTCTGAAAAGTCGTACGCTTTCTGTTTTCAGTTCAATGGCGTGGAACTTATATATTTCTGCAAACATAAATTTTAATAAACGCCTCTTCATAAATTTAATACAAAATTTATAAATATACCTAACATTTTAACTCTGACAAAGACTCGTATTTAAGAGGCGTATTAAATCTCTTTGAAGGGCTTTAATTATGAACTATTTATGCCCACTTAACGTAAATGTAAACGCGTTTATCCTCATTTAGTAATAGTAGGTATCGCCTATTCTTTCTTTTTCTTTTCTTGCGGTCAGACATGGGACGATTATCATCATATATGAATCCAATTGTGATTATTAGACTAACTAAATGTTTAATTTTGAATTTTAATTTAATTTAATTTAATTTAAACACCACAGATAATACAACCCCATATATCTCTGAAGGTACCTCAAGGTACCTTGTGTGAGAGAGGTCTACACATTTAGAGACAATGGACACATACCCAATGTCCGACTATGTTAGGATTAATTTTTGGTTTAGAAAAAATCTTAGCTCCTCGACCAGGGATCGTACCCGGGACTCCAGAGTGAAAGGCAGGTATCCTTACCACTCGACCACGAAGTCACATAATTAATATAATAAATCCACAATTGATGCTCGACCAAAAAAGAAAAAAACAGAATTAATATCAAAAATATGATTGAAACAAGATACAATCCTATTAAAAAATATGTAGGTATGTATTCTTATAAACGTAAGAAAGAGGTAACAAAAGTATTTTTTACTGCTTAAAACTATGCAAAAAATATAGAGCAACCAGTTGCTTTCATTATTGCAAATCATTCAGAGTTATCGTCGCTAAGTGAATCTATAGAGGCATCTATAATGGAAGCAAATAAAAACATGTGTTCTACTGAAGCAGAAGATGGAAGGCAGGTATTAAGTTTAATAAGAAGTTTTTTTTTTAAATTTCTTAGTCGCTGAGCATATTAAAAATGTTACTTTTATCATCTAAATATTTCATTAGTCACAACTCTATCAATGTAATCTTGGTTACGTAAGGAATCGCAACTCTTCGCGATTCCTTTGGGTAATCGTGATTACAATGAGGGTTGATTCCTAATTACATTCAATGTAATTAATTACAGTAATCGATCACAAAAGTAGTCGATTAGGTCCCAGCTCTACTTGCGGTTAGCCACTTTCATTAAAATAATTGTCAAATCTGTGTTTATTTTACAGTGCGTTCCAGATGAAACCCATAAATTCGATGAATTGCTGCCATTATTTTCATAAAAAACACTCTGACAGGTAGACATTTATTTTCAATTTGCCATAAAATGATCCATTTTGTCAGTCACTTCCGGTTTTTCTGGAAATGACCCGAACTTGACCTAAGATTGTCATACAAATTCTTGCAGTATGGCTAACCGTGTTGACAACAAAACAGTTCCATATCCTCATCCTCCAATTGAGGAAGAAAAAAGTTCGCAGCATATTTGCATATCTATATCAGTTATCTGTTATCGTTACACCGTGTTCATCAAAAAAATATGGTCAATAATTTTTGAAGATGAAACTGCCCACCATAATGTAACTTTTGGAGAATGCAATGAGTTTTCATGAATTGTACACGAATTTTCAGATGCCCAGTAGCAAAACTTTTGTTTGTTAACAAAACCATTTAAGGAAAGAAATAAATGTGCTTCGTCCATCATAAACAATGTTCAATATCTGGAATGTTATTTCGCAGTTCTAAGAATCTTTTACAAAAATGGATGTAATCTTGCTTATCTCACTCTATTAGTTTTTGCACAACAGCGATCTTGTACGGCTGAAATTTCATCTTATGCAACATCTGTCGGAGAAATTAATGTTGCTGCATGTTGAGTCGTGCTTTGAATGATTGCTTGCCTTATCACTATCAGTTCCTCGTTTCGCGGATTGCATGCAGACCAAGAACGGCCGCTTGATTTTTGTTTTAAAACAGTCCCATTTTCTCTCCACTTTTGAACCCATTTTAAAATGATATTTCGCGCAAGTTCTACCCGAACATGAAAATTTCGCTGAAAATGGCGTTGTACTCGAATAGCTGAATTAAATGTAATAAAATTCTCGATACAGTATATACGTTGTTTTAAACACCAGCGTTCCATTTTGATGACAGTCAACTATTGTCAAATATTTTCAAAGCTTGCTCTTTTAAACCATCCCTAGATGAATTAAAATATCTTGCCCATATCTTTCTTAAGATTAAAATTAAAATAATAAGTAGGTAATGAAAATCCCCGTCGGATATAAAAAAATCTCAATGAAGTTTTCCATTAAAACATCTTAACAATAATTTTTACGAGCTGATAATTGCACACCAAATACATAAGTTAAATGTTATTATGTACCACACATATTGGTTAATTTAAAATTTAGGCTCATTCATGCTTGCATTTATTTTCCCTTCATGTAAAACAGATGTCTCGATACTTATTTGAAGAATTTTTATGAAGCGCTTCCTGTTATTTGAATTTTAAGAGCTCCATTTAAAATTGTAATAACACTAAAATCACCGCAATTATTCTAATGAACAGCTACTTGTACTCTAAAATTTGAACGTAGGTATTTTTCGCATAAAGTCCTTCTTTTTTAAAAGAGGTAATTTTTCGGTGGCAATAAGTAAGAGGCCTTTTGCGTGTTACGGGGTTAATATGTTCCGTGTTGAAGTTTTGTTTGGATGGTGCTGGTTTCGAATGACCCGTATAGTAAGATCAGTTCGTTTATACAAAAAATAATCTTCGGCGATAAAAATTGTGAGAATGTGAGTTTCAAATATTTAGCTGACATTAGATCAATATGTAGGGGAATGTAATGCATGGTAACGACTCTCGTTTTCTCGCATATTCTCGACTGCCCTCCAAAATACGAGTATAATCATTGCGCTTCACAGATTGAGCAACTTCGCATTTTGGTTTTGTATTAATTTAATTAGTTTGTGGTAAGTAAAAATATAGTAAAGTATATTCAACAATGAAAAAGGTTCACTTCAAAATTTGGTCAGTTTTTTATTTTTACAAAAATATCCCAAGCAACATTCTGACGACGAACCGACGTTGCTGTTCGCAACTAAAGGTCGGTGTGCGACGTACACAAAACGTCGGGATGACCCATATTTGTACTAATCTGGTCAATAAAATATGGGTCGATTCGACGTAGAGGACCGACTTTAGTCGTTGTGATTACCGACCAAATGTTCACCAAATTTTACGTCGGCTTAAGTTGGTTGTCAGCCTATTACCAACCTTATTTAAAATTTGCCCTTAATCTGACCTACAAAAGTCGGGTGTAGGTAGTCAAACTAAGCAATTTTGTATATTATTCTATTTGTCGTACCTATCTATTTATATAAAATGGATAAGGCGTGTTTATCATTGAGTACGTATTATATACAAAATACTTCGAATAAAATTTTAATAAATCTGGTGGGGTAAAAACTGAAACGAAAGAAATTTTATTGATACATATATATAAAGTAGGTCGAAAAATATAGTGAACCCATAAGAATAATGTTTATTTTAAGAACGAAAGTACTATTTTTATTTTTTTTACTTTCAAAAAAATATTTTCCGTTTCCAAAGAAAGCGCAATTGAAATATTGTTTAATTAATTTTACGAGTAAATAAAAACTTTTTTGCTTACTTTATTTGAAAAAAAGAGGCAAATTTTGTGTATTTAAAATAATTGTACACATAATCAACATGGCCGCCTATTATTTCCTTCTGTGGAACCAGAAAATATGGCGAAGACGGAATAAGTGCAACTATTTTTACTAATAGCGACTTCACGGTTAAATAATTTTACCTGCACCAACTTTTAGTAGGCTTTGGTGCAGAAATCTGCACTAACACTAACGTTCATTCCAAACAATCACGATAATATCGACCGTCTCTTGCAGTTGGTGTATAAATCTTTACTAAATATCTATCAATACCTGAATTATCGACATTGATTTTGAGGTTATGTTAGACCAAGGACCAAAACCCTAACACCAACATCCAACCGACGTTGCTAGACGACTACGTCAGTCAGCAACGTCTAACCAACGTTGAAATGTTACCCAAAAATTACCTAAATCTAATTAATCAGTTACCAACGTCTAATCAACGTTGGATAATAATCTAAGAACACACTCAACGAATTAAGTAGATTTCTGACATCAAACCAATGTTGGTAAATGTGCTAGATGTAAATAGTAGGTTTGCGAGGTTCAAGCTACGTTGCTCCGACGTTGTATCATAACTATAAAATTTAAGACGCTACTTGACTAATATTTGTAATAATTCTGACCTTATAATTAGTAAAAAAAGTAGTCGGTAGTCGGTAAAATGTTACTTGAGATGAATGTAGCTACCTATCAAGTCGGTTATCAACGTTATACAGAAGTAGGTGTATTACCGAAAAATTAATCGGAGCTACTTAAGTTAGTCATTAACGTCTAACCAACGTTGGTTAATAACTAAAAAGGACCAAACCTATTAAGCCACTAACCAACGTCTAACCAACGTTGGCAAGTGTTCCATAACAAACTTGACCTATTCAGTTAGTCACCAACGTCTACCCCAACGTTGGTAGGTTACTCAAAATTTAACCATACCTATTTTAGTCAGTTGTCAATGTCTAACCAACGTTGGTAAGTTATTCAAAATATAACCATACCTATTTTAGTCAGTTATCAACGTCTCATCAACGTTGGATAATGACTTGAAAACATATCAAACCTTATTAAGTCGTTTTCCAATGGCAAATCAACGTTGGTAAATCGTCCAGACTTAAGCAGTAGGTTTGCGAGGTCGGCGCAATATTTGGTTCGACGTCGTATTACAACTACAAAATTTAAGTTATTACTCGACAACTATTTGTAATAATTCTGACGTCGGAATTAGTGAAAAAGTAGTCGGTAGTTGGTAAAATGTTTCTTGGGATGGCATTTTTCATAGATTATCGTGCAGTCTGTCAGTAAAATATTAAATTTGTATTACATTTTATTGTGACCAATTACACCATAAACACTTTTAATTTAATAATTTAACACTAATAATAATAAATCCCATCTATGATCTTCCAGAGGGCAGTACTGTTTTTATATCAGGGTAACACCTGCAAAGTCTAGTAATCGATAAAATGTTTAAATCATTTTTTGCTAAACAATTAGTAACACTGACGTAGTTTTCCACGTAACACTAAAGCATCATATATAGCACTCGACACGCAATTTACCAACCAAGTTGGCATCATCTGGAGGTGATTAAAACTAACCTTATGTTAACAATGTATATTATTTATACCTAAACTTTTTTCACGGTTTGGTGAACTGTGATCCACTAACCAAAAAAGCGGGCTATTTGGCCCTCTTTCACTATTCATACTATTTTTACACTTTGTGATTTCCAACCTTTCAAATGCATTCAGCTGTCTAGTATTTGTTACATTCCTAATTAATCTTAAATTGATAATATCTATCTTATGGTTGGGTTAATCTCATGTTGGGTAACACTACACTTATCTGTTCTACCATATGTCAAATGCTAAATTATTTTCACTATTTCCAATTATTATTAATACACCTAAAAATG